TCCAGCCTCGGCTCCTGAACCGCGCCAATCTCGGCGTCGTCGTAGCCAGTCTTGCAGATCGCGTCCTCTTTCGTCAGACGTCAGGCGCACACACATACACCACACGCCCCTCCCACCCGGGCCCATCAGTCGATTTTGTATTTTCGGCCCACTTTTAGCTTCCCCCCTAACCCTCGTCGGATCTCGGTGCTCGAGGGAGTCTGCAGCGCACTCTGTCATCGGTTCGCCTCCTTCACATGGTCTCCAGTAATCCGGCCGGAGCGAGGGCCACAAGTGTGCAGCCGAGCGGAACTCGACTCGGTACGCCCGATGAACATATACACACACACACACCAATCAGTGTGTTTGTATGTCCAAAATCCTAATCGCTTCTCTACCAGGGCTAAATCCGGTCGGTCAGCCTCAGGTCGGGCACCACTTATACACTCACCTTGACTCCAATCACAAACGCGTACCTACCTACATACACACACACACACACACGCACAAGCACACAAACTCGAACTGACGCAGCTACAAATATTGCACTCTTCCGCTTGACTGCTCACTGAGCGGCTTGCTTGCCTCTCTGTCAGAAGGGCTCAATCATCCACGAACTTTATGGAAAAGCCGTGAGATGGTTGGGCTGAGCACCGAGTGGCCGAGTGCAGTCACACGATGAATGGGAGACACAACCACAGTCCAGTTCCGTGGCCGAGCAAGCATGGGCCTCTGAGGCAGAGTGCACTGAAGCGCATCGTCTCAATCGGGGGCTGCTGGGGCACGCATTCCAATCGGTCGACAGCACGGCGAGAAAAAAGTGTCCTCACACAGGACGAGCTTGTCGAAGAAGTTGGCTCTTTTGGAGTAGATCATCGTCTTCATCCTCGAGGATGGGTTGTAATGTCAAGCAGTTCAGGTGAAAGGGCAAGATGAAGAGCTTCCTGGAACGATCTGTCCAGAAGAAGACGACTGATTTGCCTTGTTCAACAGTCGTTCGAAGTGACCACAACATTCGAGTTCACGTAGTCAACGAGACATCCTCCCTCATCTTGGATTAAATTGGCCGAGCTTTCGTCCTTCAAAGAAATAATTGGGCTTCCAAGATTCGTTTGATATTGATAACTTAAGGCTGTCGTAGCTTCCATTTCGTTTGAACAGACCAATAGAAGGGATCCTTCGTAAACTGCCCATTCTCAATCTATCTATCCACACGGGAATAGTTTCCTTTTTACTTCTGAGAAGCAATAGCAAGCAGGATGGAACCAGCTAATTTTCTTGACTATGTGCTGACTTGAAGCTTCAGCAAGAATGAGTTTCAGCTCTGAGGATATCTCTCAACAAGCATATCGGATGAAATGTTGTAATATAATGAGGCAGGAGGAAGGAATTCGAGAGTTCTTCTTAAAGGATGCCAATTGGGAATTGCCTTGGAATTGGGAGTGTAGATTTTGAGTAGCACTGTAATAAACGTCATCTAAACAGAGCATCGTGATTGTCTAGAGTTCATTGTGTTAGATGAGACTTCCATTTTACCATCTATACTTTTATATATATATATAATTTGTGTGTGTGTGTGTGCGAATTTGTGATATAGACTAACTAATAGCTTCTCCTGTCTTCATTTTACATTAAATATTAGCGCAGCAACTGAAATCATAAATAAAAACGAAAAATAGTCAAATATGCATAGATCGATATAGAATTAGTTGGATAGGTCTTTTTCATCTCAATCTAATAACTTTTGTGTGTATGCGCCTGCATGCAGGATATCGACCTACACATCTCCTCTTCATCCGTCACCTGACAGACATCGTCAGAGTCGGGACGCTTTTCTGTATCAGCTTCAAGTAAACACAAATTCAAGCCATGCTATAAATAGTAAAATTAAAGACGAGAACATGTAGAGAATAGATTGGTCGTGAGTATGTTGAGGGTGTCACTGGACCCCTCTATCGTGGTTGAGATGGTATGCATTCTGATGGTTAACTTTTCCACAAGGCCTCATGATGCCATTTAGTCTTACTCATTTTCGGAATAATTCTTGAATGTACTTGTGAACCTTC